GGGCCCTTTTCCTCCCTGTGCAGAGGCCCCGTGGGGGTGTAGGCCAGGGTCAGTTCCATGGAGAGAGGCTGGGCCCCCTCCCAAGGGTGCGGAGAGGAACAGCTATCCACTCCTCCCTGTAACACTGGGGAGACTGATGGTGCTGGTCGTGTGCTCACCTTCCCGGACCCTTGGAGGGTAACAGGGAGGTGTCCTCAGAATGCCATCCATGTCCTGTCCCCTCCCTCCTGCTAGCCCTGTCTCCTAGCTGTGGATGTCACTCAGGGGACAGTGGCAAGGGGTACAGAGATGAGAGCAAAGGGCTGGCCTCTTGAGGCCCTCTGGGAAATACCCACAGACTTGCCATGACCCACCTCAAGCTTTGTCCCTGAGCCACTCCAGATGTTGGGGCTGCCATGGAAACCGGGCTCCAGCTACCTCAGGGCGGTTCAGGAGCCAAGGCTCTGTCTGAACGGGTCCCTCCCCAGCTACCCCCTGTCCCCTCACTGCCAAGGACCCTCAGCCCACTGGCTTCTGTCCATTACCTGTCATCCTGTCCCCAGGCACTGCCACTGCTTGGCATTACACACCTGTGTGTCCACTCTGTGACCCTAAAGCATCTGCCACATCTGGTTGTGTCACCTCAGGGCTATGCAGGGTAGGGCGCAGGTGCTCCAATAGGTTCCCAAGGAGGAAACAGGGCTGAGGAGCTGGAAATGAGGCCTCCAACCCCTCTGGTGGCCTCACCCAGCCACCTTCCCTCCTTCCCTGGGATGGAGTGCATGTCCCATGGGGGTGCAGGGCAGGAGGTGGAGGTCCGGCGACCCCACAGACCCCAACCCTGCTCCCCTCTCTGCTGCAGCTCACGCCCACCCTGGCGCTGGCCACACTGAGTGCATCCCTGGGTTCTGCCTTCCAGTACGGTTACAATCTCTCTGTGGTCAACACGCCACACCAGGTAGGCACGGTAGGCTGCGGGAGGGGCTGCCAGCTTCCCCAGTGCCCACTCTGGAAACCAGGGGACCCGGACTGGCTGCCTGCCTCTGCGGGGTTCAAGCCCCATGGCCTCAACCAGACACAGCTTCCTGCTGATGATGGAGAGAAGGGGTCCAGGGTGGAACCCTGAGGGGACTTGGGGTTGAGATTGGGGAGGGGGGGAGCAAAGGAGACAGAGGCTCACACATCCCCGAGAGTGCACATTGTATTGTGGCGCTGATGAGGACCGGCTGGTGAGCTGGCAGGCTCCACCTTGTGGAGTGCAGGAGCAGGAGACCGAAGCTGGGCAGGGCTCTAGCGAGGCTGCAGGAGTCAGGCATGGTGGTTCTCCCCTGCCATCCCAGCACTCAGGAGGCTGAGGCAGGAAGACTGCTACAAGTTGGAGGCCAACCTGGGCTAGATAAGCGAGACCCTGTCTTAAGACATCAAAACATCAAGAGAAAGGGAGACAGAGACTGAGGGGCAGACATGCTGTTTGGAAAGTTAGACTACGAAGCTTTGAGCCAGGGGCAGGATGTTCTGCAAACTGATGGGGGATGGGCAGAAGGACAAGGACTAAGGACTCAGACAGACAGAGATGCAGGAAAGAGGTCCCCGGAGGCATGGAGGCATGGGGCCCACACCTGGGCAGAGCAGGTAGAGTCACCATTCACCAGGATGTATGAGCTCGGCAGAACGTTTTAAAATCAATAGCCAGCTGTAGTGGTGCATACCTGCATCCCAGCTCTTTGGGAGGCTGAGGCAGGAAGATTGCAAGTGTGAGTCCAACTTGGGGGATTTAGCAACTTCCATGAGCCTCTGCCTCAAAAATAAATGAAGAAGCCAAGTGTGGTAGCACAGGCCTATAATCCCAGCACTCAGAAGGCTGAGGCAGAAGGATCGCTTCGAGTTCCAGGCCAGCCTGGGCTACATAGTGAGTTCAAGGACAGCCTGAAGTACCTAGCAAGACCCTATAGCAAACAACAATAAAAATAACCAAAAAAACCAAAATCACACATTATGAACATTTTCTACATTACCTCTGGCAGAGTAAGGTTCCCAGAATGAATTTTTTTTTAATTTTTTATTTATTTATGTGTGTGTGTGTGTGTGTGTGTGTGTGTGTGTGTGTGGCCAGCTCAGCCCACCAGGGGGCGGGGCTGGCTGGCATGTGGTGCTGGGGGATTGAACCGGGGTCTGTGTGCTTTGCTAAGCTTGTTCTAAGTAGGTGCTTTAGACCACTGAGCCATCTCACCAGCCCCCCCAGAATGAATTTTTTAATGGATGCTTATTTTTTCTTCTGCATTTGTTTGTGATCCTCGAGGGCCTCTGCACTGGGCTACATCCCCAAGCTCCTCCCCTCTTCAAGATAAGCTGCACCTAAATTGCTAACTTGCGCAGGCTGAACTTTGAATCCTCTGCCTCATCCTCCCAGGGTTACTGGCACACCCTGGCGATACCGAAGGTTTAAACTTCTTGCACAGTCTGGTTTCCCATCTCTAGCACAGAGTGGATTATTCTATCCTTGGGTACCGGCAGAGAATCAGAGGGTTGAACTGCGTCCCACGATTGGGGCAGAAGCATCCTTTTTTTTTTCTCTCTCTCTCTTTTTGCGGAACCGGGGATTGAACTCGGGCCCTTGCGCTTGCCAGGCAAGTGCTTATTCTACTGAGCTAACTCACTGGCCCCAAAAGCATCTTTCTATGCAAAGACTTCATCACTGTCTTTTTTTGAGTCCCGTAAGAGTCCAGGCTGTGGGTGGGGCTATGCATTTCAGGTCTTGAAGTCATTTTACAACCAAACCTACTTCGAGCGCCACGGAGCACCCCTGGATGGGACCACACTTCTGCTGCTGTGGTCCTGTACGGTGTCCATGTTTCCCCTGGGCGGCCTGCTGGGGTCCCTCGGGGTCGGCCTGCTGGTGGATCGCTGTGGCAGGTAACTCCAGCGGCACTCAACTGTCAGCGACACCAAGTCACTGGGGAATGGCACCCGTGGGGGCCACTGGGACCCCAACAATCGGGAGTCTGACATACGGGGCCAGCATGACCCTGGGGTCACAGGCATCGGCACCCTGCAGCTGGCCCTGGTCTCCCTAGATCGCCTTCCCCCAGGCCATGGTGTGGGAGCAGTACCCCTTGAACCCCTGAAGAGCCCAGTCCTGCGTGAGCCCAGCTTAGGCCTGCTGAGCGCTTGGAGCTGCGGGTCCCAGATGCCCTCCGTGAGGTCACCCCGGGGGGCCAGGACCACACAGCTGCCCCCACGCTCCTCTCTCTTTCTGTTTCACACCCACAACCCAGGTCCCCTGTGCTTGCTGCACAGCCTTCTGGGCCTCTGCAGAGCCGCTGCTCCTCCTAGACACGGAGCTATGTGGCCAAGGTCCGGGAGGGGAGCACGGGCTGAGGCGTCGCAGTGGCGTGAGGTCCATCATGCTTGATGTGGACGCGGGGTCCCGAGCTGGGGGAGGAGTGGGACGCAGAAGCGCACTCTCTGTTTACTGAGCAGCCCCGGCCTCCCTGCCCAGCACCAGGCACAAGCCCCCATCCCTCACCCCTCGCCCTGCACCTGGTCTTGCAGAAAGGGAGCCCTGCTGTTCAACAACATCTTCGCCATCGTCCCTGCCATCCTGATGGGCGTCAGCAGCGTGGCCCGGGCTTTCGAACTGATTATCATCGCCAGGGTGCTGGTGGGAGTCTGTGCAGGTACCTGGGGCCACAGAAGCCCCGCCTGCCCCAGCACCCTGATGCCCAGGCCCTGAGATGCCACTGGGCTCAGTAATCCTGTGGAGATGAGGCTGGGGGCTTGCCGCCCCTGCCGATTTATTCTCCTCCTGACTCTGTCCCAGGGCTGTCTTTTCCTTTCTTGCCCCTTCTTGTCATGTAACAAAATCTTCTTTCCACAAACACATTTTTACTGTTAAGTACAGAAAACCTATAAGATTTTACCAGGTGTCCCCCGAGGAGGATGTACAGTGTAGACTGAGAATTAGGAGTTTTGGGCAAAAGAAATACAGAATTGAGGTCTCGGTCAGCAGGTAAGCAGAGATTCTTTAGTGGTTTCTTCTATTTAAAAAGCAAAACAAAACAAATATCACCAACTAGGCCCATACACTGTAGTGGTGAACACCTGTAATCCCAGCACTCGGGAGGCTGAGACAGGAAGATTACTGTGAGTTCAAGGCCAGGCTGAACTACACAGTGAGATTCTGTCTCAAAACAAACAAACAAGGGCTGGCCAGATAGTTGAGAGGACTAAAGCGCCTGCTCATGCAGAGCTCAGCAGCCACGGTTTGATCCCTGGTGTGCCATGCCGGCCCTGCCCTGGGGCGCGCAGAGATGACAATTGAGCATGGGCCTATAATCCCAGCGCTTGGGAGGCTGAAAACAAGAGAATCATGAGTCAGATCTATGTAGTAAGACCCTGTAGAACCTGTACTAAATACATGAAAATGAAACAAACAAATGAACAATGACAACAACAACAAAAAACAGACAAAAAGCTGTATAAGTTGCCCAAACTTTAGAAATATCAGAAAATAAATCAAAGCAATAACCCTACAGGTTTTCCCAAGGCTAAATCCTGCTCTACACCATGGGCACATAAGCCCGGACTTACCCCATCACAGGTGGCCCAGGCTGGCCACTAGAAAGGACAGGTGTTCTCTCCCCACCCTGGCCATATCCCCCCAGGGAGACTGCTACAAGTCCCACCTAAAGCATCAGGAACAGCCTGTTCTGCTCAGCCACAGAGGCGCTGACACTCTGAGAAGCTGGGGGCTTGTTGGTGGCACTGAGGGGCATGCTGTTGGGTGCTGCAGGGCTAGGGACAGCCCTCAGCCAGCCCTCCTTTTCCTCCATTAAACCAGGTGTGGCCTACAGCGCCCTCCCTATGTATCTGGGTGAGCTGGCACCTAAGGACCTGCGCGGGGCTCTGGGGACAATGACTGAGGTCTTCGTCATCCTTGGAGTCTTCCTGGCACAGGTCCTCAGTCTCCAGGCCATCCTGGGCAATGCCACAGGTAACTCGGACTACAGAAGTCGCAGAGGAGGGACTGGAACTCAGGGTCCTGGCCCTCGCTAATAGGCTGAGTAACAGGGTGCCGGGAACAGGGAACTTTGGTGAGGTCTGTCCCCTCAAGCTGGGAGAATGTGGGCTCATTTAGCTTCTCCAGGAGCTGGGCCATGGCGGGGCGACCCAGATGCAGGCAACATGGTGTCATCTTCTGGGGGCTCCAGTTTCCTGGGGGAGCCAGGAGGTAGGACCTCATCTAAGGATAGGGTGAGAATGAACCTGGCACCCCCAACCCCGGGATGGCTGCAGCTGTCTGCTTTTGCTTTCTTTATCTCTTCTGTCTCCCTTTCTCTTCCTTCCTCTTGCTTTCTTTTTTCTCTCTCTTGTTCCTTTCTCCTTCTTTCTTTCCTCCACCTCTCTCCTTCCTCTTCTTCTTCCTCTTCCTCTCTCTCTGTCTCTCTCCCTTTCTAAAGATCAAACCTACGTTCTCACAACGTTAGGCAAACACTCTACTACTAAGCTACATCCCCTTTCTTTTTAAATCTTTTGACTTACTGCCCAAACTGGCCTCCAATTTTCAATCCTCCTGCCTCAGCCTCTCGGTAGCTGGGATTACACCAACGTGACCACCGCCACCCAGCTATTCCTGGGTATCTGGAAGGGGCTGAGAGACCAGAGGCAGGCGGCCTGGGGAAGGGCACAGGTAGTGACTTGGGAGGCTGAATACCAACATCACAGAGGTGCCACCCCAGGACACATGCGCAGGCGCCGCCCTCCCTCTCACCCTGCAACACCCCTGGCCCCCAGCTTCCCATGATGCCCTCACCTTCTGTATCCCCGGGGTGGGAGTCAGGGGCTCAGGCAGCTCAGGCATCCCCTTCATGACTGGATCTCAGGCGCGGCCTGCCGCACTGCACACAGGTCCCCTCCCCTACCTCTGTTGTCCTGACTCAGATCTTCCCTGGCGTCTTCAGGCTGGCCAGTGCTCCTAGCTGTCACCGGGGTCCCTGCGATTCTGCAACTGTTGTCGCTGCCTTTCTTCCCCGAGAGCCCCCGCTACACCCTCATTCAGAAAGGAGAGGAAGAAGCCACGCGGCGAGGTACTGATCCTAACCCTCACCCTCACCCTGACGCTGCTCCCCACTCCCGTTCTCCTTCCGGGGGGACCTCCACCCACCCACGCACCCCCAACGCCTCCAACCCAGCGGGGTGGTACACACCAGTGGTCCCAACACTCTGGGAGGCTGAGGCAGGAGGATCGCAAAGTGAAACCCAGCCTGGACAGCTTAAGGAGACCCTGACTCCAAAGCTAAACAGGGATGCGAGTGCGGCTCAGCGCCATCCCGGCGGAGCGCGCAGTGAGGGTGGCCCTGGCCGGGGCACAGCGGGGCCAGCGGGGGCGGACCCCGAAGCTGCGTGCACCCCTTCCCAGCTCTGCGTAGGCTGAGGCGCGGGGACGACGTGGAGGCAGAGCTGGAGGAGATGCGCACCGAGGAGCGGGCGGAGCGCGCCTCAGGCCCTGTGTCCCTGCGCCGCCTGGTGGCCCAGCGGTCGCTGCGCTGGCAGCTCGTGTCTGTCGTCGTACTCATGGCCGGCCAGCAGCTGTCGGGGATCAACGCGGTGTGTGCTTCGGTGTCCCGGGAGGCAGGGTGTGACCGGATCTGCACCCCAGGGGAGGGACACGAGGGGGAGATCACCCTAGAAGCTGGGTGTCGGCAAACCTAATCCCAGCTACTCAGGAGGCTGAGGCAGGAGCACATCAGATTGGAGGCCAACCTGGCCAGCTTAGCCAGACCCTGTCTCAAAATAAGAGACAAAAGCAGGTGGCAGTGTAGCTCGAGGCTAAGACCCTGAGTCCAGTGATTTAATCCTCAGGCCAAATAAAGAAAAACCCAGGGGCGGGAGAGATGGTTCAGTAGAATAAGTGCTTGCCTGGCAAGCGCAAGGGCCTGAGTTCAATCCCTGGTTCCACAAGAAAGAAA